AGAGAGAGAGAGAGAGAGAGAGAGAGAGAGAGAGAGAGAGAGACGGAAGAGACAGAAACTCCCCCCAAACACAACCAAACATGGTGCCGACATAAAACAGTTTGGTCACGGGAAATGAACGATAGACGAAATTACACCAAAAAAACAACAACAAAACAAAACAAAAAACAAACAAAATAAACAAACAAACAAAAACAAAAGAAACACACCGGGTTGGGGAGGGGAGCAGGTGGGGAAGAACTCTAACTAAGAAGGTGACATTCTTCGGGCTCTACGGTGAGTAATTCTGGACAGACTTTCTCCCAGGATTCTCCGCTTCCTTCACCTCCCCCCGGCCAACCTCTTTCCACTCTTACTCTTTCTCCTTCCCGTCGTCTTCCCATCCACTCTCGTTTTTGTCTATTTATGAGACGTTAAGCACCCGGCCTGTCTAACAAGGTACACCACTAGCAATTAAAGTGGCAGGGAGGTAGGAGACGAGGCTATGAAACGAATACGTGCTGGGAGAAAGTGCCCTCGTAAAAGAGCGCTTTCCTTCTCCGAGAAGACTACACTAGCTTCTAGAAATTTGCCAGCAGAAATAAGAAAGGAAATCCATAAAATTAATGTGCGGAAAGAGTCGGTAAATTGAAAATTTAAAACCTGCACTTGTGGCGCCGCCTGTCTGCGCATGCGCTCTCGCGAGGAGCGACGTGACCAATAAAACGGCAACTGTCTAAGGAAAGTGGAGTTTGCATCAGTACAAGCCGGTGGCCACTGTTTGGCCTGTTGCAGTTGAGTTTTACGGCCCTTGCAAAAACAATGTGGGTCATTTATCAAGCCAGAGCTACGCATTAACGTCAATATTTGCAGGTTGGGCGAAGAGGTCTAAAATCTCTCTAGACAATCAAGGTTCAGGCAAATCTATGCAGGGTATTGAACTCGTGTCGTCAGCGCTTTAGCCAAGTGTCTAGCCAACCGTGGTAGCGGCACCCCCAAATCACGAAGTGAAAAACAAGTTAAACTCATTACATCATATCACCCGACATAATCGGGAGCCAAATGTATTTTATTACAATGATAATGCACTTAACACGGAGAGACACATTTTTATGTTCCAATTACGATGATAACTCCGTTAACATGGAGAGCCGCATCATTATGTTTTTATTACAATAATAATGCATTAGCACGGAGAGCCAAAGATGTTATAAGTACAATGTTAATGCACTTTGAGATGATCTTCATTGGCCACCACCAAAGACCCACAAAAAGCAAATGATAGTGCCACAAAAAAAGTAAAAACCCTCACTAAAAAGACGGAATAAAGCGAAAGAGTTTGAAAGCAACTCACAATACAGCCAACTCAAATTGCTACCCCACTCCCAGACATAACTACAAAAGCGTTTTTGCTCAGGGTTCATCTATGTATCGTTTTGCGTTGTTGGCCCGTCTTTGTTTCTTGTTGATGCTCGCCATTGTTTACTCCTCCCCTCGGCGTCCCCCGCCAGATCAAGACTCGGGATTTGCCCGGTTATCTCCCTCGGAGATCTTCTCGCCGTAGCTGCTAGCCTCCCGTGTGGGTGCAAGAACGTTTTCTCCCTGGGACCTGCGGCTCGTGATAGCGTGCCCGGGAACTCGCTAGTAGATCTACTTCTGGAGCAACTCGCTGGCTTATGAGGGCTGCTTATCTCAGCACCGACCGACACGGCAAGCCAGAGATTCCAGAAAATTTTTCATTGCTTTCTTTTCTTTCCTTTCTTTTTTTACTCCTAGAGAAAACATTTTCTCCAGCTTTCCTTTTCAGTCCTACCAGAGAGTAGAATTTGACATTGACAAAACTGTTTTTAAACAAATCGATTTACTTAAAGTGTACACCCTCTACACAAGGCATTCGGCAAAGACTTATCTGAGCTCTCCTTTCGGAACTTACATGACTTTCTACGCACCATAACAGTCTCCAGTTTCAGTGAGGTCAGCATGGTGGGTAGCCAACCATGACGATATGCACAAAGACAATTTTTAATTTAATGTTTAAAAAGGGTACCTCGACTAGACCTTTACCGGGAATTCCAAACAAGCACGCTTCTTTCCTCGTTTGTGAACACGACGTATTATCATTTTGTTTTGGGGGGGGGGGGGGGGGGTTCAAACTGGAAACATCAGTTTAGCCCTCTAGACTGGGGGATCACGGCAAACTACATGTAATAGAAGTGAATAAAGAAGGCCGAAAGAAACCTTTGCGATTGAAGTGAAACTTCCCTGGATCTTGGCCTATCCAGTTTAAGAAATGAGAACAAAATAACGCCCTGTGTCTGGGTGTGTGGGGGAGACAGATGGTTCACGATGCCAGATGGATGTCCGTGTGACGTCAGCCTGAACGTCTGGCAGACAGGTCCGGTCGCACAGCATCGGCTTCCACTGACGCGCGGCAAATTTCGCCAACGG